GCCCGCAGGGGGGGGGGGGGGGGGTTGACGAGTGTACTTCAGTTTATTCAAGGCATTCATTTAGTTATTCTACAGTATTGTGTTTGTTACTTTCGTTGCAGTTGTATATATGTCTTAAGTGTAATTTGGCTTGGCTTCCTATTTTGTATGGACATGCTTTTATTTTGAAGGAGAGTTAGCGCTGTTGACAGGAAGTTGTTGTTGCTATGGAAACAACGTGATGGACAAAAGGAGCGGAGATTAACGGAGAAAAGTAATATCTACATATAAAGACGGAGAAAGTAAACGATAAAGTTTATGGTTAAGTGTTAGCACCCCCCGAAGAGGCACAAGCTCCTACGTTGATATTGGAGATTTCAATAAATTCAATTTGGCAGCGGCAGTGCAGCACGGCTGCCAAAAAAAAAGAAAAAAAAAGAATATCCGAATAACGAAATTGAAAACCGAATATTCGGATATTTGGATATTCGGGTACAGCCCTACCCTACTGTGACATGTTTATTTTGCTCATACTGCCTGTGCTGCAGCACCTCTTTTCACCCTCTGTCTGAAACCAGAGCCCAGTCTCAGTTGACCAATCAGAGCAGACTGGGCTCTGGTTTCAGACAGAGGGTGAAAAGAGGTGCTGCAGCACAGGCAGTATGAGAAAAATAAAGAGCTTTCTGAACATGGAGACATGTCACAGTAGAGGCACTAAATACAAATGTGAGCATAATACGGCCTCTTTAGAGAGACCAAGTTTTAGCTAATTTAACCACTTAAATAAAGCTGTATTGCCAAAACCCATCATATCTTTGTGATGATCTCACATGCATTTTGCATGTAACATCTAGCAGAAAGTGAAATAAATGGTGCAATATCTCCCTTGGAAATTTTGTGGAGTAGAAGTCTAAAGTAACATGAAATATAAATAATTAAGTAAAGGCACTTTACCTCAAAATTGCATGTGAGGGAATGTACTTAGTTACTTTACCCAACACTGGCTTGTGGCTAATGACTAAAAGGGCTCTTGCTAGAGTGAACATCGGAGAAAATAACATAATGTGAATACACACGTACGAGGTCTCAAACACCGGCACTTAACTTCCTGTGACAGCCTCCTTCACGCCCTTGCATCACACCACCAACTTCCTACGAGCACTTTCGGATAATTTCATGTGTGCGCACGTTGCACCCAGAGGCCATGCACAGAGGTGCTGCAGCTATCAATACCAGAACGCTCATGACTATCTAATTTATATATATTTAGATGCCTTCGGGCTGAAGGAATCTTTTAACTTCATTTTGCAGAGCAATCTTCACCAGTGACTGTTAATGAATGATTCAACATTATAAGAAAGTGCTACTACCCTCGAGAATTGGTTGCTATTGTCTAATGTGGCAGAATCTGAAAGTATTTAATTAGTCATTCACATTGATGTCTGCACGTTTGATGTTTTAACTGTGCTGCAGTGTCATTCGTCATTAAGACAATCATGTTAATTGTGTTATACAGGCATATTTCATTAGCTATGAATTATGTATGTTGGGGCTGATGTTAATGATATGCTAATGATGATGATCGCCTAGGTCCATTTCCTGTTACACTGGTGATTACATATGCATGTTCGCAGACGTGCCAGGTAGCTCACACACTTAGCATGCGTACGTCAGGAGAGTGGCAGGGTGAGTGTTCACTCCTGGCCTCAGAAAATAAATGTTGTTGAAGACGTCACATTTTAGGTTTAATGTTAAGTCAAATATATTTACTGAAGATAAAAATAAGAATATGTAGTATGGGAAAATTGAATTGCTGCCGTGTTTAAACTGGAGCTACTGTATGTGCATGCTGCAGATATAGGTAATATTTTTTAGGATTATTTTCTTACTTATGATTTGCATTCCATGTTTGCTTTGCCATCCTATTTTATTATATTTTCTTTATCTTAGTTTTCTTTTTATTGTTTTTTTTTTCATTTAATCTACATTTCTATATGTTTTGGGTATATTATCCTTTATAGAAAAGCATTCAGTGCTGCATATTTTTAATAAAGGGGCTATACAAATACATTTGATTATTATTATTATTATTATTTATTTTTATACATTTTACATACATTTCCTTTTTGTTAAGGGCAAGACTGAGACATTGTCATTTCGTTCTTGACAAAACACTTTTTAAGTTATCTTTTGGGTATATCCTCCTTTACAGAAGAGCATTTAGCGGTGCATTGTTGTATGAAAAGTATTGGAAATAAATGATTATTATAAATGTATATATGTTTTATTTCAGGGCAAGATGGAGATGCTGGATTTTCTTTCTAGAGAGGAAGGAAATGCTATATATATGTGTCACGTTGTATCCCCGCACGAGGTGTTAGGGAGTTTGCATTTCAAGAGGAGAGGAAAAGGAGGAAGAAAAGCTAATCAGAAAGTGGTTGGGTTTTTTTCTTAATCCCAGCTCTGCTGAGGCGCCTTTTCTCCTTTAGAAAAGTCTGTGTTTCTTTCACACTGCCTCTGCAATCACTTGAAACCCCATTACAGAACATGTGACAGCATCAATTAAATTCACAATTATCACGGGGCAGAGACACTCCGTCGGGAGAAAATATAGTTACATGGCATCGTCTGTGTGTGTGTGTGTGTTTGTGCGCATGTGTCTTAATATCTGCTTGTGTGTGTAGAGAGATACAGTGAGTGTTGATAAAGAGCAGAAAACTGTGTCAGACGGTTCAGATGTTTTTTTCTTGCCCTTTTTTTGCAATTCTTGTAAACCTCTTCAAAAAGAACACACTACGAGTTGCAAATAACAACTTAGATCTTTGATGCTATTGACAGATTTCAAGGGCCACTCCAGCATCAGCGAATGGCCATCTGGTGAGTAATTATTTTAGATTTAATACCAAATTAGTTTGTTTTTTATGTACGGTGCTTTGACAAAACTGCTTATAAATATCCAAGGAAAAATTAGACTGGGCGGTGTCAATGTGTCCACAAAGTTGGCCCCTCACTCATTATCGCCTTAGCAGCTGAGCCCTTTGTCTCCCACGGACATCACAGATTAGAGTATTGGCTCTTGTATGCAGCTTTGCGGAGATTTATCCAGATTGAACTGTCCGAGATCACAGAAAAAAAAAACCCGGCATGAATCAGTGTTAGAGGGTGGATTGTTAAATATAGCCCACAATGAAATACTGAATCACACCTTCAGATGTGCGTAGTTGTGTGTTGGATACAGTAAAGCCGTCTGAAGGAGAGACACGTGTTGTGAGGCACAGGCAGGAAGTGATTGAGCCTGAATTTGGAGGGTTAGATCTGGCAGGTGGAGCTGCTCCGGCCTGTACAGTCCATTTCTTCACGCTCTCCATCACAGCGCTCTCCATTAAAGCACAATCAGGTCCCTTGTAGGGAAAAACACGGCAGCGTGTCAGCATTGATCTCTCTACCTATAGCACCGGCATGCACTGGAGCAGAGCAGGAGATTAAAAATTCATAAGCGTATTAAGATCTATAAGAGCATTATGCATGTGTGCCGTCACTGTCTAATACAGTAGGGTACTAATCATACGCATCTCAGGCGCGCACACACACAAACAAACACACAGTCACAATAGCGTTCTGGGTGCTCTCCAAGTGTCAGCACTATCATATGGGCATGTGTGTGTGGCCTGGCGGTGTTCCCTTCTTGAGTGCCATACAATGTGCTGGCATAAATACCTGCTTGACACAGCAGATTGGCACTAATGGCTTTACACGCGGTGCCATCTGTAAGCTGGACCGTTAGCTCTTGCATCTTTCTCCATGGCCAGTAACAATGTTTCGTAGCTCGGACCCTCATCACTCACACCGAAAAGGCAAAGAAAAGCCAAATTAAATGTTGGCTAATCATCAGTGCACTCAGGGAGGCTGTGCATAACACTGCGGGCTCCTGTCCGTCTGTGGGCACCTGGGTATTCAGATCAAAAAACGCAAAGCAATTTAGGCCCTTTTCGTCTATGGAGTGCCAGACACCCCCCGCTGAGCCGAAGCCCTTCACCGCCGGCGCATCTTTGAGCACCTGCACACACACAAACACGCCGACTTCTAACTGTGGCTTCCAACAGCCTGCAGCAGTCGCACAGGGATCATTACTATTCATTTGCTCAGCAAACTGGCCACCCAGGCATATAAATTAGCTCATCTACTGCAGCTGGGTACTGAGACAGTTGGCGCACGCTGAGGGGCCCGAGAGCAGCGGCCATTATAGAGCAGGGCTCCGAGACACCTTCTGTCCGGTGCACGTGACCTCCTCCACGCTCATCTGCTCGCCAGGTTCAGAGGAGGGAGGGTGTGTCGGGCACTGGCGGTAAAACAGGCCCAGTCGATGATTCTAATAAATGACAGAGCCGAGCAATAGGACCACAGCCCTGTGAGTGTTGTGCTGAGGGAGAATGAAATGATAAATCCTGTCAAAACCAAGTGTAAATCAGTCTGAATGAAATAGCATTAGCGGGACCTTTCAGCCTCTCTGACCATGAAGGGGAGGAGATGTGACAGGTTTGACCTACAGGGAAATGAGGGAACATTCGGACTACTCTTGCTTTCTGCCTTGGGGTGAGGATCAATGGTGGAAAGAAAAAGTAAAGCTATTCATTCTCCTGGATATGTCAATTTCCATTGGCGGGTGCAGATTGGTAGTGATCATGACTGGCCCCTTGGGCAAACGAGATCTGTGGCCTTTGTTGTGCCTCAGTACGCCATTGATTCATTTACGTTTTTACTGCCACCTGGAAGGCACCACATCATGCTGGAGCAACGTAAATCAATTCCAATTGCAGGTTTATAACAATGCACAAAAACAGTGGGAGCGTGACTGCGGGGTTAAATTATACTAAGCACTTCTTGTGTGAGATGTGTACCTGAGAGAAGGGCCGGAGGTTAAATAAGCCATGTAAGAGACTTGTAACAGTGTTTTAAATATTCATAAAACCCTCATTAAATAGATAAAAGCTCTTGTAAAGGATGAATGAAGTTTTCCTTACCCGTCCGATGAGCACAGGTTCTGGCCCGGCGTACTCTTCGATCACAAAGAACTGGTTCCAGATCCAGCTCCTCCTGCTGCGGGAGCGCGGCCCCTGACCCTCCATGTCGTCCCGCTCCTCCTCTTCCACCTCCGCTTCCTCAAACACAAGGCCATTCACGTTTTCTGGATCGACAGCTTGAGTCCCCATGTCTTCCGTATCGTGGCTCCATGCGGGAGCCGGGTGGAGCCTCAGGACATGACTGCTGTTGACAAGTTTATTGTCTTCATCTGCAGGGTACTGAGCTGTGCTGAGCTCTGTTTGAGCAGCGAGAACTGACTCTTTTAATGGGTCTCTGTGGGGATCTGCTGCTCCGATCCCCGGTCCTTCTCCCTCGGGTTGCATCGTCAGCACAGACGGCGGAGAATCATTTGTTTCGGAGGGAAGATACTGCGGGAGATGTTTTGTCGATGTAAATGGTGGTTCCGTTTGGCTGATTGGTAGTTCTCTCTCGGGGGTGATGTTGACCTCGCTGTGGGGTGTTGACAGCAAACGGACAAGGCGTTTGCTCTTGCTACCGCCACCGTCTGAACCCTGCATTCCCTTGCTGCCCTGCCCTTTACTCAAAGCTGGGTTGACTTCACTTATAGGATTAACACGAGTGTTCGCTCCCTGCTCACGATTCATATCTGGGGTGGTGACTGGGCTTAAATAAGGGAACGCTGTCTGATTATCAAAACCAGTGTGGAGCTGAGTGACAACCATATCTTGTCTTGGCACTTTCTGAGCCTCCAACTCTCTGTGATTAACGTCAATCAAATCTCTCTTCCTGCTCCGGCTGCCCTTGCTCGGAAAGCTCAGGCTGGGAACGCTCTGCATTTGGGAATTGACGATCCTAACTAGGTTCTCTTTCGACAGCAGCTTCAGAACCCCGTAACTACCCGTGAGGTTCAGCTTCCGGTTTGAATCTATGCTGAACCCTTTTCCTGGCACACCTGTAGTGTAGACAGCCAAATCTGGTCTGCTCCTGGTTCTAGAGCCGGATCTAAACTTAGTTTTATTGGCGTGTAGCTCCGGCTTGTGGTGGATTGCAAATGTCTTCTCTGACCTTCCTGTTTTTATAGAAGTCTCAGCATTCTTTGAGTTGTTCTTGACTTTCTTAGCATCTTGGTTTAGCTCCTTGCTATAGGCTAATATGTGCGGAGTTACTTCTTTTTTATTGACTGAGTCGACCTCGCGCTTGGGCTTGAAAGCTTGTCGCTCCTTGTTGGCTACTGATGAAGCAGCATGATTCAGCAACATTTTGGAATGAGAGTAAGATCCAGTGTCACCCGCCTGCTCGTGACTAATCAGGTTTCTAAGAGTCACCACGGGCATTGCATTCGCATCCACGCTTGCATCCCATTGGTCCGTATCTCTGCTCTCCCCTAGCTTCAGTGAGTGCGATCCACCCACTCCTCTCCTCCTCAAAATCTTACTGGCCGAGGCACTTCCTGCGAGCCCCTCCCACAGGCATAAGGAAACCAATAGGAGCAGATTCCTTGTAATCATCTTGTCTTGGGGCGAGATGTCCTAATTTGAGCGAGGTTTGCTGTTAGGCCGGCCTTGTTTTCCGGTTGTCTTCATTCTCTCCTCTGTCTTCCCTCTTTTCATCCCCCTCCTCTCACTCTTTCATTCTGTGTCCTTCACACTGAGCTGGAGGGCAGGTGTCAGTCACTCTCTTCTCCCCCTTTATTTTCACACCGCCTAATATCCTCCTCTATCTCGCCGAGCCCCTCTCTGCTGATGTTCTTCCCACTCCTCTCGCGAAGCGTCTCTTTCAGTTTCCCACGGAGGGTTGGACACCCTGAGAATAAAGATAAAGATAATTAAGTTAACACTTTAATCATCGCACGGCGTTAATTAATAGTGAAGCAGCGTAGACAGGTAGGAGACGAGCAGGCAGGACTGAGCCTTTTAACAAAGCAGCAATCACATCTTCACAAGCACAGAGGGCTTTTTAGGCCCAGAACACACATCCATGTATACCTCCATAATAGAGTGCCACAGTGACGCGTCCTAAAACCCAGAAGTAAGTTAGCATTTGACCACTTCCGGTTCCTTCCACAAAAAACAATGCAATTTCTCCATAGGATTTTGGAAAAAAGCTCGAAATAAGGTCTGTGGTTGACACACATTGAAGAGACAGATCACGTTTTGTTCAGCCGGATAATATCCACTTAAATCTTATCGATAGATTTATGATTCAAAAATTATAAAAGTAGGGTGGATATTATCCGGCTGAACAAAACGTGATCTGTCTCTTCAATTTGTGTCAACCACAGACCTTATTTCGAGCTATTTTCCAAAATCCTATGGAGAAATCGCATTTGTTTTTGTCGAAGGAACCGGAAGGAGTTTACTTCCGGGTCACTGTGGCACTCTATGACCCGAGTGTCTTTTCTCACATCTCTCAGATAAGAGACAAAGTTATCATGTTACTATTCTACATGGGAAAAGATAGGATAACACCATCAGAAAAGCTATTAATGGGAACAACTGTCAAGGATTTTGGACTGCAGAGCAAAAAGGGACCAGCAAGCTCCCTATCACTTTGATGTGTGATTCATTAGCTGGATTAATGCTGTGCTTTGATTCGTCAGTTTGCATCCCAATAAAAGCGTGCAAGCTGTGGACGCAGATGCACTTTGTTGTACATGGCGCCTTGAGCGATGTTAAAAGCTTCCTTGGCTCTCATGGATCTGACTCACGCTCTCATATTTCTTGTATGCACTTGAATCTCAAATGGAATTCCTACGCCAAATCAAAATGGCAGATATCAATCAGCGGGCTTGTTTTTCTGATAAGAGTGGACACACTTCAGTTGTATTTCAGTAACATCAGCCTACGCGTCTGACAAGTCAATAATGTGGCTATTTGCCAGATTGCATTACAATAAATTGTTTTTATTATTACTGTGTTCAGAAAAAGACTGGCTTGTGCTATGCTGAATTTGCATTTATCCTCATCATGTCACATGTAAGTATCACATGTTCTTGTTTAAAGGAATACTTTATCTGCAAAATTACCATTTGTATATTAATTACTCACATGAAACGCTGATAGTAAATACTGTGCATGTTTCATCAAGTTGATGTGTTAAAGAGTTCCGGTTTCATGGTGTCCTGTGCAGCGGGTTGTGGTTTGTCAGAGTGTATGACACTTGCTCCAATGTGGCGCAGACAGACCCTGTCAGCACATTCACTGGGGCAAGACTGAAGTTGGGATGTTCCTCCTGGAATACTTTTCACCCTTTTCCTCTCCCTCTCACATTCTCCTCAACCTCCTTTCCCTGTCTCTCTTCCACTCGGAAAAGCTTTTTGATGAACAGCGACGGAGAAAAAAAAAAGGATTATCCACCCATCCTCCGCATTCCCACCTCTCCCACTCACCACCTGTCTCCTCCTCGGCATATCTATCTTGCTAAATCTCCCTCTATCCCTGCTCTTAGACTGGCTATTGTTTTAGCATCCTCTCCTCTAACCGCAGCTTGCTCCTATCCTCTTTTCCTCCCTCTCATCTGTGTCAATCACGAACCTGTCACTGTGTCCCTCACCCTCTGTGCACTCTGACGCTTCAATCAATCAGCCGATCTCCTTCCTCGGCCTTGCTACATTGGAACTGACAGGTGTCGAGCTGGCCACCATCTTTATGACAGGCTACAACCCCCATATAAATCAACTCGTCAAACAGGATATATCCGGTATATAGGGGACTTGCTGCAACATGCTGTGCAGCAATGTACAGACTTAAGTCGTATAATAAACGTCACACGGAGGCCGATACAGACGATGTGAGGCTGGGTTTTGGCGGGGCGTTATCTCCAATGTACAGCATGAGCAGGCGATTGGGGGTGAATTCAATGACAGAGCTCCTCTCCCTCCCACAGGAACTTATCAGCCGGGAGTTTGATGGCCAGGCAATCATTGCCACGGGCACCTTGTTAACAAGCCTGGGGCAGGTGCCTGGATGCAGGGCAGAATATCAACATGGCCCCGGCACCGGCAGAGCACAAATTTAAAACATTTTTAGTGCGGTGGAGTGACGTTTTATCAATGTAAGGTTTTCTTTGGAGCACCAAACTAATGGGGAGGGTGGGGGGAGAAAACACATTTATTCTTCGATCCTTTTATCTTTCAACACAATTTTCAGGAGCCAAATTTTCAACCCGGAGCGGAGTCAAGGCATTCTGTAACGTATTGATCCGTGTCACAGCCTTTCACACTGTGCTGGGCACCTTAGGGGAGAGCTATTGTTATGCCATTACCCTGGTTGCAACAGCCTGTGCAGCAGTAAGTGGAGATAATTACGTGCTCTGGTTTGAAGCGCAAGGGAGCTCATATTTCCTCATTAGAGTTTTATAAAAATGTATTACAGCACAAACGGTTGTTTTCATCCGTGTGGAACTGGCGAGCACCGGGATGTGGATTTCACCTGTAGCCTTTTACATATGGTACTACAGCGACGTGCAGTCAGTGGAGGCAGAGCCTCACCTGTCATACTCCAATGTAACGGAAAAACAACTAAAGAAAAACGAAATAGTAATAATAATAAAATGTCTCCACTGATCTGTGTTGTAAGTGTGATTTATGTATGATTCTAATCGCTTTTTAGTCAAAATCAGCAAATTTGCCGAGCTCCGCTACGGGAGCGATGACAAGTGAGGCAGGCACGTGCTCTGCCTCTCGTAAGCCCACAGTAACTTGCTGGAGCACGGGCACTAATTTAGCGCGGGCACTTATTTTGTGAGCGCGCTCAAGCCAGTTACTGTGGGGTGAGGTGAGGCACAGATGAGATCTGCCTCACCTCAGAATGCGTCACCCCACAGAAACTGGCTGGAAAGCAGGCCCTAAGCGCATGCCTGTTACCATCTCACTGTATGTCACCAATGTAATGTATGTAGATCCCTTTATTACATTTATCCTCGCCATCCATAGTCTCTAAATAACTTATTTCACGTATATATGATATTTAGGCTCGCTGGTCTCAACGGCAATGAAAAAGCACCAGGGGAGGCAGCCATAACCTCTGCCGCACTGAAGGGGGCGCACGTGAGCCCACAGGTTCTTGTTGCTACTGTTATTCTATGCAGAGACGGTAGACGTAACAACAAACTAGACTTTTGAAACTACAGGAAGATAAGGAGGACTTTTACAAAAAAGTAATAGAGATTGTTGTCCAGAAGGATAGCATGGACTTCATCTTCAAGTCAAGGTAAGACCACATTTCTAATGAAAATGGGATCTTACTAAGAAAGAACAATCCAATATTTAGATTTTGGGTATCCTTTTGTTGAACGGTCTGTTTAAAATGAATCGAAGCATCAGACTAAAAAAGCTTTTGAAAATAACCGAATATTTCGATTAAGGTCAAAATATAATATTTGTAAATCTGACTCAGTGAGTCAGTGCCTCACCAGCCATGAACCTCACCGCACGTCACTGTGGTACTATGATTTTCTAGTAGAGTAAATAGAGATAATGGGGTGATACAGTTGGTAGCTCCAGGGAGCTCTCTCTTCCTAATTAGAGTTTTAGAAAATGTCTAGCTGTGGTGCACTCTCAAAGACTTTAAATCCATGTGAATCCAACTGTACTGTATTTCTCTCTAAGTTCTACACACTTACAGCAAGTTTCTCGGTGACCTGAATAAATGGTGCAAAATATGTCTTCCTTTATAGACAAGAAAAATACCATATTACTCCTGTATTGGCTGCTTGGCACTGGCTCCATATCAAATAAAGGATGGAATCTAAAATTTGCCGAAGTTCCAAATAAAGCGTCAGTGTTGGCCGTCAAACTTCCTGCTCTCCTTGTGTCTCTCTGAGTCCTGTTTCCAATTGCTTCAGAAGTTTCCCTCACAATAATAATAGATGAAATTTGTATCGCGCCTTTCAAGGGACCCAAGGCCGCTTTACATGGTGAACAAACAAACAAACAACAGTAGGAGTGGAAGCAGGGGGACTGTGATGGGTTAGGGGTCAAAGGCCATGGTGAACTGGTGAGTTTTTAATGATGACTTGAAGATTGCCTTCAAAGCCCTCAATGGTCAGGCACCATCCTATCTTAAAGAGTGTCTAATACCCTACTTTCCCACTAAGTCATTGTGTTACAAGAATGAAGGGTTATTTGTTGTTCCTAGAGTCTCTAAAAGCCAAATAGTAGCCAGAGCCTTTTGATATCAAGCCAATTACGTCATAGACTGACATAGAAGTTATAGTACCACTGTTTGGTCACTAGGAAAATTAGTATCAACGTCCGGCGCACTTCCTGTTGGCTCGGTTACGCTTTAATCATGAGTTGTGGCTGTTGTCCTGCCTGACGTCCACCTTACTACTTCTGGTGGTACCGGAAAGATTGTTGACATCCATCTGGATCCATCTTCATTCTCGTTATATCTAGACCAGGGGTCGGCAACCCACGGCTCTCAAGCCGCATGCGGCTCTTTAAGCCCTCTACTCTGGCTCCCTTGAGTTTAGCCAAAAATAAGAAGGAAATAAAATAAAAATATTTGTAGGAGTATTTATATTTTGTTGCACGGTTGAAGATGTTTCGTATCTTGTATTTTGAGGTGATACTGTGACACTTTTCCTTTTTTTTTTTAACTAAAATATGCGTCACATCCTGCTACGGTCCCGCACCAGCGCCTTTTCTTGCTGGTGAATAACCTGACCCCCGGCTCGATGAGCGAACGATGGATAAATCAAAGAAAATAAAAGTATCGGAGGAACACTGAGGGTTTAATTCTGCGTGGTTAGAGTTATCTGCTTTCACAGCAAACGATGCTGGCTTACCGGTATGTTTGGTA